GTTAATATTTTGAAACTTTTAATTCATTGCTCTCAAAATCTCTTAAAATTTCTCAAAATCCTAAAACTCCATACAGTTATTAAAATTATTCCATACAATTATTAAAAACTGTAAATGGACAGCATTCACCTTACTGGAAATCAATCTCTCATTGTCTGTCTTCACAGGTCGGTATTGGAACCAACAAAACAATTTATGCCCTAGAGGATGGTATCGTCAGATTCATCAAGGAGGTGTACATTCCTCTACCACGTAGTGCCGAAGCCAGGGATGTGATCCCAAAACTTCCCAAGGGTGCTGTTCTGTATAAGACCTTTATCAATATCATTCCTACAAAACAGGAGAATAAATTTAAACTAGTGGACATGGTATGAAAAAGACTTTCTTCAACTCCAGTTTGATCTGGATTCTTTGGACTGGTAACCCACCCTGGAATATTTTGATGGTCTCCTTTCAAATGTTTCAAAAAATTCAGCAGTAAAATATTTAATTTATTTTTATTTGTACAGTCAAGTTATATTCTAATAAAAGTGTTAACCTAACCTTGTGTGACTTTATGTTCAATACCTTAAAATACACTACATCATTAAATACAAATTAATTTACACTCTTAAGAAAAATGGTTCTAAACAGTACCAGAAAAGGGTTGTTCGGCTTGTAACAATAGCAGAACCCTTTTTAGTGCTAAATAGAACCTTTTTATAGGGTTCCATATAGAACCATGCTTTGAAAATGCTATATAGGACCTTATTGGTGTTATAAATAACCTTTTTAATGATAGTTTTTCATTAATATTAGTATGTTAATATGATTAATATTAGTATTATTTGTATATATTATTTATTAATATTGTTTTTACCCCTCTTATCGGCCTGGTCTTATAATATCTTGAAGTGTCTATTAGGGTTTTACATAAAATCAACAACAAGGTGTCAGTTAGGTACTTTTTTTAATGACGTGAAATTGTAGCAAAAATTACAGTGTTCTAACAACAGTTATTAGCAAAATATATTAATGAATGACATTGAACATAAATAAATGCTTAAAGAAATAAAACAAAATAGAACATGAAATAGTGTATTGAAGACCAGCTCCAGTGAAATATCTTCGCAATCCTCTATGATACCTCTAAGTTAATCATTATCTGTATTTTGGTGTGATTGAATGGCTGTTTCTCTCTGCAGATGATGAGGTAGGATGTGATAGTATCTGAACTGCACAATTTAGTTTAGATATACAATGTGTCTCCTTTCATTTGTTTACGTGAAAATTGTTTATGAAGGCCAAAAGTAGTATGTGAGCACTTCACAATGTTAAAAGGAAAAAAGTAATAAAAAGTTAAGGGATAGCTGGGTATGTTTATGCATAAAAATAAAAATGGAAAAATGGAAGATAAAAAATATCTAACAAAATGGACCAAAAATTCAATATCTTTGTTACTTAGTGAAGAAGAGGAGAGTATCCTTAACTGAACAGAGCTGGTCACACTTACATGTTCTCTTAAACTAAAAAGAGAAAAGACATAGGAAACCAATTAGCATTTGAAAGTTATAATTTATAGACCTTATAAGAAAGAAATTACCTGCTGAAAGTGTGCTGACAGTCTATGTAGTTTGATGGCTGAGCTATAGAAAATCAGTAATGAGGCATCTTAGAGTGTAGGCTCAGTTAAGGTTTTACAATAAAACAACAACAGCAGCATGTGTGAATTATGTTTTTATTGACATGCAAAATCGTCAGTGCTCTTAACAACAGTTATTAGCTGACTACATTAATAAATGACAATTGACATTGAACATGAATAAATACATAAAGTAAAACACAAAAGAAGAACAAAAAATAGATGTGATGAAGACCAACTTTCAGTGAAACAATCACAATCCAATCAATATGATGCCTTTAAGTCCATCATTTTGGTGTGATTAAGTTCTCTTAAACTAAAAAGAGAAAAGACATAGGAAACCAATTAGCATTTGCAAGTTATAATTTATAGACATCTTAGAGTGTAGCCACGGTTAAGGTTTTACAGTAAAACAACAACAACCACAACAGCAGCATGTTGTGTGAATTGTTTTTATTGACATGCAAAATTATCAGTGATCTTAATAACAGTTATTAGCTGAATACATTAATGAATGACAATTGACATTGAACATGAATAAATACATAAAGAAGTAAAACACAAAATAAGAACAAAAAATAGATGTGATGAAGACCAACTTTCAGTGAAACAAAAACAATCACAATCCAATCAATATGATGCCTTTAAGTCCATCATTTTGGTGTGATTAAGTAGCAATATTTCTCTGCAAATGATGAGGTTGTGGGGTGTGATACATCTGAAATACACAATTGAGTTTAGAGTTACAGTGTGTCCATGTGCTTGTGTAAAAACAATTATGTTTATGAAGGCCAAAAGCAAAAATGGACAGTATGTGAGCCCTTCACAATCTTAAAAGAAAAAAGTGATATAAAGTCATGGGATAGTTTTAATCTTTTTTGTGACTGGGTACATAAACCCAAGTAATAATTTTAAAAAATCTAACAATATGAATTATACATTTATTGTCTCTTTTACTTACTTAGTGGAGAAGAGGAGAGAAGTGTCCACAGCTTAGCAGAGCTGCACACACTTATATGTGACCAAAAACTAAAAAAATAATAATAAAAGAGATAAGAACATGTTTGTTTGGAAGCCAGTTACATTTTTAAAGTTAAATTTGTATTTAAATTTTAAGAATGAAATCATTTACCTGTTGAGTGTGTGTTGACAGTCTGTGTAGCTGGATCACTGAACTACAGAAAATCAGTAATGAGGTGCTTTGTCAGTTACAGATTTGAAAAACAAAAGGGCGGGAATAAAGAACCCTAAATTCTAACACAAAGAACCGTTTCAGCATGAAAGGGTTCTTCAGAATGCTATGGTTCTGTAAAATCAGCATTTGTGGAAAGCTACAGGAAACAGTGTTAAATGCTTTTTGTATTCCATTTTACTTTCATAATCATCAACATTTCGGAGGAAAGCAAGATATTGAGAAATGAAATGAGAAACATGTAGGAAAGGACTTTATCCATTACAAACTGAATCATGAAAATTGGATGTTAGAAGGAGATTGTTGGAAGGGAGGACTTGAAAAGTAAGGAAACGGAAGGAAAACTTTATTACATCTTGATCAAATATAGACAATAAAGATTTTTACTTATAATAATATATGCAATGATTAATTGTTCACATTAAGAACAAGAGTCTGTTTCGCATTCAAGTTGATTTTAAAGACAATGAGGACTGCTCAGTCTTTCAGCAGATCAATATAAAGTTACAATCGCTTGCAGCTTTTAAGGTCTGCTTTTCATGGAGCATTAAACAGTGCAAACATTGTCCTGTTGCTGAGGTGTTTTAATCTCCTTCATTGACTTCGTCCATTCATGTTTCCTAAAATTCAGCACAGCTTTAGCGTTTTAAGGATTTAGACTGTCTCTCTCCTCTATAAAACAGACAAGGACTATCTTTGTAGCATTTCCCTTTGGGCTCAGGGTGTTGTTCATGTGCATTAGCAGGATTAGGGGAAGTGAAGCCTGAGAGTATCCTAAGGTTGAAGGAAGCCAAGGAGAAATAAGAAGTATTTTACCAGTACTGTGTAGGAAACAGTGCCAAATGAGTTGTTCTTGCACCACGTAGCTCCACTCTTTCACCTTTAGTATGAGAGGATTAAATATGGAGTGTGCTGACACTTTCCAAGGACAACCACTCAAGCAGGTGCCACTTCATAAGCTTCAAGTTCAAATTCCTTTTTATGATGCCAAAGTACAGAATGTTCAAGGAACCTTCATTGTTTGGGAACTCTTGTATGTACATTGAAGAATAAATAGGTGATGAGATTCAATGCTACTGAAAAGGGGAGGGAAATTGATTTAGAACGTAATCAGAGATTCTGAGCAATGCTCAGTGTAATAATCTATCTGGCAGATAATTGTTATTCAGCCCTGAACAACAGCATGCCACACTACATTTCAGGAGACACGAGATGCAAATGTTGTGTCGGAGCAAAATTTAGTATAAACAGTATAATCACATGCATCATGAATCATTTTAAATTTTGATTTACAAATTAAAATTTTACATCACTGAATCTTTATCTAATGACATTGATTCAGAATTTGTAGGAAGAAAACATGGTTCCATTTTACTTGGATCTAAACAGTGCTGATATGAATACATTTTAATACAAAACTAATTTGACCTCTACCACGTACAACTCAGACAACCTCCAGCTGTCAATAAGATAATACAATACTACAGTACCAATTTACTACAATCCAATACTTCCTTTCCTGAAGTATCGTGACAGTGTCCCGTCAAGAAAATTCTATCACTACCTCAAACCACACATGAGTACCAGGTCTTTAGCATCTATACATTCTCACCGCCCTTCTCAGGTGTACGCTGGTCCGACACAGGATCAATACTAACTCCGAGTATTACAGCCTCACCCCGAGAGTGGGTCTATAGTCTTCCAACACTATCACTGTCTCTGCTGTGGTCCACTGAGCACAGAATCAAAGTTGCTCTTTGCAGGAATAAAAATTTATTCACGGCCGGGAGCCCACTGGTCACAACAACCAAGAGAGACTCCCTGAACAGAAATATACATGTAAATTTATACCTTGTAGTTGAGTAAAAATCAATGTCACTCAAGACTTTTTCAGTGGTGATTGGTTATACTGATCTGGTCATTAATTTGTCATATGACTGTTAGTTCGACTGTTTTAAGCACTTTTTGGGTAAGTATAGATTCTTTATTCATAGGTGCATGGCCTTTGATCTGAGCATCCTTAGTCTGCACTTTCCTGAACATTCTATCAATTCTATCCATTTCTGTCTATTGAACATATACCCTTTTGACCCCTTCTGAGGCCATTACATAAAACATTTCCATCACAACAGTTCGAAGGAGTTAATGTCATATTTGCACAACAATATTCCCTCTTTTCATTGTCATGCTTACCAGGACAAAGATTCATCACCATGGAATTTTATTTATCACCACAGAGCCCTCTGATAATTTTTCAAAACATCCGCCTTCAATGCACAGGTCAACCCAGTGAGTCCACAGTCATGCTAAAACAGCTGTAACCAACATCAAATGCAAGACAACATAGAAAATTAGTTACAAAATGATAAAGGCATAATTCACCCACAAATGAAAGTAATGTTTTCAACTAAAGTCAGTGGGAAATAATGTTTAGCCCCTATAAAATTCTCCAAAGCATCTTCTTTAGTGTTCCGAAAGATAATCAAAGGGGTTTGGAATGACAAGACCAAGAATCATACAGTTTGCAATTCTCAATGTAAAATCTAGATCCGGTAAGGTTTGGAGAAAGGTCACTGGAATCCAATCTGATTCCCATTGCCCTTTTTGCTGAAAACTATTAGATGCTGTTCTATTGTTCACCCCTGAAAGCTACGACCCAGTATTCAGCCAAGAAAGCCTTGTTACGTCTGTCTGCTTTGCTTTGAAAAGAATGACTGTCAACCCCTGCTCTATCTACTCTGTTGCTTAGCAACGGCTGGTGCGTCTTCCGAGAAGAGCTCACTCTTTCCTCTTTTCTGAATTTCCTCTCTCTTATTTTCTGTACATTTGAATTGGAGTGGAGCATGACAGTTTGTCCTTGAGAAAAATAATAAACAGTTCCCAAAGGTCAAACTATATTTTCAAGGATTTAGGCAAAAACTTAAGTAAAGTTGCACACAAGATGTTCTATTCCAAAGCAAACAGTACCACTAATGCCAGAACATGCAGGACACTCTTTTTCATCTTTTTTATTTTATATAGATATATATATATATTCAGTGTAATACCGGAGGTGGTGACGCATTTAACCTGGATGAGCAGTTTTAACTGCCTATTCATCAGGCGGGATTTTACAGCATGTTAATGAGGGCTCCGTCCTCTCTCTTCTGAGCCTGTTGCTGTGAGACGAACCAAAAGTCATGTGAATGTTAAAGGGGGAGAGGGGGGTAGTGAAACTATGTGTTGAAATGCACAATGCTAATAAGTCACCATGCAATAAAAGGACAAGTAAGAGAGAAAGACAAAAGGATAAAGGCCAGAGAGAGAGAGAGAGAGAGAGAGAGAGAGAGAGAGGGAGACAGGGTGAAGAGAACTGAAAGGCAGAAGCAAAAGTTAAAGCAGGGTCTTAATGGACGGATACAGTCTGGGCATGAAATGGACCGTCTTGTAGTTTCTCTTATGTATGATTCATTATTGCTAACATTTATTATGCTCTACCTTGGTAACAGATAAAATGGCAAATATTGTGCACCTGCCTCTCATTTGGATTCTCTGTGTTTTTACAAGCTGCTTCAGTGGTGAGATGTTTTATCTGCCTTGCTCAGTAATGGATATTATTTTTGCTAATTGTTTTCAATCATTGAGCATTACATTATGTGACTTGTGTTCGCTATTTGTGGATGCATCTAATATGAGCACAATGTTTTTTTCATATTTCATGCTTTCCACTAGAATATTATTGCCCAAAGGGGGCAAAAATTGACCGTGATGGTTTACGCTGCTACTGGATGCCCACATTTAAGTCAACATGGCTAGAAGCAAAGGGCATCTGTCAGAGAGACGAGAGAGGAGACCTTGCTATGGTGGACAGTGTGATTGTACAGACCTTCATTCAAAATTCATTCCAACTGTAAGAGATCACAAGATTTTTTTAGGGTTTTGCGAGCAAGATCGCCTTTTTTCCCCAACATAAATATTTAAAAGGCAATGTATAAACACAGAGCATTGAAACTTCTGGAATGGCTGATCCTGTATTTGCATTTACTTTGTGTAAATTCCAGAGAAGCTCCAGTTGGGGTTTGGTTGAGAAATGGGATGGCACAGGGTCCTTTCTATGATTTAGATACTGAAGACAGTGAGACGAAGGAATGTACTTCAATGGCTTTGGCCTCCGGACAGTGGATAAATGAACAATGTAAAAAAGGAAATTCTGTTATCTGTGAGAAAAAGATATCAGGTAAGCCAATAAAACTGTTTTAACCACACTGATAAGACAAGAAAATGACAACCAAATTATCATCATCATCATAGAGACTAAACGCTGGGCAAATAATCACCTGTACACCTTCAAACAACACACTAGCATTAACCTTTACCTTCATTACCGTTGTGGTGGTGTGTTTTGACAATCAAGACAAAAGAGGGGAAAAAAGTAGTTTAATTATTTATAATCACTGAACTTAGCATTATACAACTTTATTTATGGAAATAAAATACTAGCATTACAGTGCTAGCAGCTAGGGGGTGACAAAGCACATCATACATTTGTTTACATTTGAGTCATTTACAGCTTGCATTCAGTTAATATAAGTTACAAATATACAAGAATATTACAAATTCTTTATCAGAGCTGACAGCAGCATAATTAACTTTTTCTTTAAAGTGTCTTTGCCATCGATGGAGAGCTATGTGGCAGGTGTCCCACTAATGTCAGGCATTTACACAGTGTCCCAGATGCAGCTGCTACCCTCTCCACCAGACCCAGGACAACAAATGGTTGAGGTAAAAAAATAATAAATAAATAAGCTCACTGAATTGTTAATCAAGGGATCTGAAGTTTAGGACAAAATATAGTTTTTAAGCTAATAGAAATTAGACTGTTAAAGATATGCTACCTTTCAAAAGTTCAGGGTTGGTATGATTTTAATGGATTATAACTGTTATGTTAACCAAGGCTGCATTTATTTAATCAAAAAAAATTCAGTAAAAGCAAAATTACAGTATTTTGTGAAATATAATTACATCCTAAAATAAAGATTTTATTTTTTAATATATTTTAATATTTAATTTATTACTGTGATGGCAACGCTCAATTTCCAGCAGCCATTACTCCATTACTGCAGTGTCACATGATCATTCAGAAATTCTTTTAATATGCTGATTTTGTATCACTATCAGTGTTGAAAACACTTTTGTTTAATATTATTGTGAAAACCATTGTCTTTTTTTCATGATTCTTTAATGAATATAAAGTTCAAAATAATCGCATTTATTGGAAATAGAAACCCTTTAAAACATTATAAAAGAACACAGTGTTGATCTTGATCAGTTTAATAATAAAAATATTAATTGCTTTCTTATCCAAAAAAAACGTACTGATCCCAAACTTTTGATGAGTTTTCTCTATAAATGGCAATTTTATATGTATAATGTTTTTAAAAAACTTCATTACAGTGGCATTCACCGAAAAGGAGCCGCCATTATAAAATGCTCCGGTTATTAACGTAACCTCGGTTTCCTTAGATAAGGGAACGAGCGTTGTGTTGAACGCTATGGGGTAAACTCCTGGTTACTCTGAATACTGAAGCCTGATTTGTTCACGTTCGTGTAGCTGCACGAACAAGTGGCGCTTCAGCCTTCCAAAAGGGGAGGAGCCGACTGCTATGTAAGTCGGCTCTGATCGCCATTTCATCAGAATCTTTCAAATGATAGTGACAGTCATCGACTTGCATGCAGCCTTATAGCATGGCAGCCTACGCAATGCTCGTTCCCTTATCTCAGGGAACCGAGGTTACGTTAATAACTTGAGCATTCCCTTTTGAACGGTCTCTCCCGTTGTGTTGAATGCATCCAACGAAGCTGACCTGCAAACCCCAGCTCCAACAAGCATGAGCTGCTTAACACGGATGACACATGACAAGAAGACGGGTCCCCATTCTGTGCTGCATACCAGTCAGAAAAGACTTACCATTTAAGGGTGTAAAGGCGTCTTGTAGATGGGGTTCTAGCCTCCAAAATGGTATTAGTCACACTTGCGGGGAGCTGTCCAGACTCCCATCGAGGTGCCAAATATGAAGGTTCCACAACTCGAGCTGGGGATGCCAAATCATGCCTCTCGCCTGAGAGAGAAGGTCTGTCCTGTCGACCAAGGGGCTGCTGATAGCAGCTGAATCAACTCTGGGAATCATGTCTGATTCCTCCGTCTGATGACCTGAGGAAGCAGGGCAATTGGGCGGAAGGCATACAAGTGAGCGCTGGGCCAATCGTGGGCCAGAGCATCTCGCTGTTTTTAGAAGTAAACTGGGCAGTGAAAGTTGTCTTCTGAGGCAAAGAGGTCCAACTCTGCCCTCTTGAAGACAGTCCAGATTGTCTGAACTATCTGGGCATGTAGTCTACATTCTCCTGATGCTACATTGCCCCCTGGACAGCATGTCCACTCCTAGTCTGCCCGGCACGTGAACTGCTCTCAGTGAAAGGAGTTTGCCCTGTGCCCATAAAAGGAGGCGTCGAGCCAACCTGTTGAGGGAGCATGACCTGAGACTGCCTTGGTGATTAATAAAGGCTAGGTTTTTAGGGCTAGGTCTTCAGAATCCAGCGGGGAGATGATCTTCGCACTGAAGCAGAAAAATTCTGACGAAATGGCACTAAGAGCTGACTATAGCCAGCTCCTCCCCTTTTGGCAGGTTGAAGCGCCATTTATTCGTGCAGCTACAAAAACGTGAACAAACCAGGCTTCACTATTTAGAGTAACCAGGAGTTTACCCCATAGTGTTCAACGCAACGGGAGAGACTGTTCAAAAGGGAACAAATAATTTCAGACAAAGGGGCAGAATATGCTCATTGTTCATTTTTCTGCATATGTGTTTATTAAAAATTTGCGAAAATGCACGTTAAGTCATGTTATTGAATAACAATGTTTGTTGATAAGTCATGTTTAAAACACATACATGCATGTTTGTATATGTGGTTTACAGGGACTCTCCATAGGCATAATTGTTTTTATACTGTACAAACTGTATTTTCTATCCCCTTACCCTTATTCTACCCCTAAACAAACATTTTTTCATTTAAAAAAAAAAAACTGTTTAGTATGTTTTTTAAAGCCAATTGGTTTGTGCACAGATTATGTTGTTCCCGGGTCTTTGGTTCAGTCATGAGGGTCGAGTCCTGTCTTTGGATTTGGTGACGCAGCCAAGTGATCAGCTGACCTTTGCTAGAGTGCAAATCTTACGGCCGTACTGCAGCCCAAGTCATCACCTAGTACCACCTGGTGAGCAAATTAAACTAATGAGAAACACATTGTTAACAGTAATCAAATTATCAGGTCAAGATGTACAATTTTTAAAACATCTTCTCTCTCAGGTTGTAGTTCTCTCCTGAACCCTTTTAGCTGCTGTTCACTGACGCCCATGTGCAACACCACCGGTGGCTGTGCCAGTGGGCAGTACTGGTGTCACCTGCTGGAGATCTGTCTTCCCGTCACCAGTCCGTGCAGCCCTTACCACTCCTTAAACGGGGGACATGTATTCCCCCTGCCTCCCCGCTACCCTGCGACACCACCGTTCTTCCACTTGATGGCAGACATGTCACTGACACTGACCCCAAGCACTGAACACACCCACATCAGTGTAGGTGGCAACACTTGACTTGTTGACTCTGTTCCAAAATCTAATTAGCATAAGTCGGCGAAAAAGTTGTAAATTAATTATTTCTCTTAATTAATAAATAACTAATTTCTAATAATTATTTTACAGTTTTAACCTGTATATTATCTTAAAATGTCCACAAAGTAAAATAATCCATTGAACTGTACTAAACAATAGGCCTAGCAACATGACAAGCACTGCAACAATATTACAGTAATATTAATACTGAAGTCCTTCAAGGTCATATTCAGTAAAGTTGACAACTGAAACAAAAAAAATAGCACTAATTGCAAAGTAAAGAGTGACACTGCATTCATTTGCACACAAGAAGCTCATGGTCTGGTGTTTTCAGCATCTCAGAGCAACTCAGTTTACAGTCAAGCAGTGAACTCCATCTTTACATTTACATTAGTTTAAAGGTCATTTGGGAACTCAGTGTGTCCCAGGTTTACTTTATTTACACATTTGCATAATTTCCAACATTTTTGTGGACAGAAGTTTACAGTGTTTCACCAGCATTCCATCAAAATAAAAGCTTTAGGCTTTGAAATGTTGAAAACTTGAGAGTTTGAACATTTGGAAAGTGAAGAATTTAAGGCATACTTGTTAGGTCTGTTATTATATTAAGTTTGATTAGATTCCTAAAGCACCAGGGAGACAATTAACCACAATCAGAGAAACATGAATATGCAAAGTTAAATTTCAGGAATTTAATTTTACTTGTCCACCATCTTGGATGTATTTTGTAACTTTTAAACTTATTTTAGTAGTCTTAATTATGCTAAAATTATGATGCAAATTCATTTTCTAGGCAGCTCACTAGGTTTCTGGAACAGAGCCCATTTCACAGCTATTAATTTAAATGATAGTAGAAAGTTTGACAATGACCTAAAATCAAAGACACTTATTTTTTATTTTTTTGTAGGTTATAGTTCAAGACAAACATATCACTGTCTATCCTGATGACATTCTGGCATTGCAGCACACTAGAAGAGCAGGTGAATTTCTACATTGTGTTGCCACTACCAGCTCATCCTGGCGCCAGAGTTACCTCTCCCTGCATGGGCCTGAGTGGGGCGGCTGGTTAGAGGGGGGTCTGTCTGCCCAACCAGGACAGGGCCAATGGCTAGATGAACTGGTCTGTGACCTCCGGGTGATTTACGAGGACACAATGCCACACTTTGGGGTTTCAGCAATACCCAGCACCTCACAGAGCAACAGTCCAATCAAAGCAGAGAGTCCTGTCACAGGGTTGCAAGTTTTATATCCAAAGCTTGACAAGGACATCCAAATGCATGTTGCTGTCAATGTCCCAACCCTCATTGTCATCCAGATCATTTCAGGAGATAACGCAACCAGTTCCTGGTCAGACCCTGTGTCTAAGAACGGAGTCCCTTTTGTATCTTCTTGCCCTGCTGAGATTGAAGGAGGGTGTGTTAGGGCTTCTCTTGACATGTGGTTCTCTAATGTATACATGAAGCTTTCCAGTCAAGGGGAACATATACTAAATATCATGGCTTCAAACAGCTTGAACTCCCAGACTCTGAGCGTGAGAGTTGTGTCTTATATTCCTGTAACTGGGCTGAGAATCCAGCCTCAGGGCTTCAACAGAGTTCTAGTGGACATACCACAGGTATCAATTTTCTTATGTGTGTCATTGCGAAAGAAAATATTACCTCAAAAGTTCACCAGTAACCTTTTCGAATTTGATGTGCTAATGGTATTTACTTGGTATTTGAAGAAAAGGTTTCTAGAATGTCATAACTAGACTTTAAATGAGGTGCTTACTCTGTTTTTTTGTTGTTGTTTGTTTGTTTCTCTCTCTCTCTCTCTCTCTCTCTCTCTCTCTCTCTCTCTCTCTCTCTCTCTCTCTCTCTCTCTCTCTCTCTCTCTCTCTCTCTCTCTCTCTCTCTCTCTCTCTCTCTCTCTCTCTCTCTCTCTCTCTCTCTCTCTACAGTTGTTTACAACTTCAGTAGTTACAGGCTCATCAGTGAAGTATACTTGGGTTATTGATGACCTGGTCCAGTTTCCACACACAGGAGAGTCCTACAGTGTGGTTTTTAAGAAGCCGGCAGAATACAAGCTAAAGGTAAACATGTTAATATAACAGAAAAATTTCCAAGTACAAGTTTAAACCCCTTTGTGAAACTGAGCCTAAAGCAGTGATACAGTGATCAAGGTCCTTTAAATCAGTGGTTCTGAGCTGGTTTTGCTTCAAGATCAAAGACAAAATTCTTTGTTTTTCAAATCAAACTTTAAAATCTATTAATATTACAATTAACTGCATTTGCAGAACGATCATTTGAATATTTACTAACAAATTGAAGTGACTAACAAATAAAAAATTATTTTTAAAGAGTGCCAAACTATTAACATCAACATAGGCTTATCTTTATAGATAAGACTATTTGGTTCCTAAATGTTGAATTTCATTGGGTCCATGCTCTCTGCAGCCAATAATTCATCCCACAAAATTATTTTTGGTAGTGGCACAATCCATATTTATCTTTGTTTTAAGTGAAAATAGTGGAAGTTTATTTGGATGCACAACCTTTGATGTAAACAATAAAAAGAAATGTAAAGCATTTTCTCTTTTAAAAGTAGATAAAACAATTTATTTTGTTAAACTACTTATGCATGATTATTTATTTTATACATTATCTGCATTTTATTATTTGCATTTAGCAGCATTGTTGTTTTCCTGCCACCAGTGACCCTGTTACCCGTTTTGAAGTCATGACCCACCAGTTGAGAATCATTGCTTCAGGTTTTGTTATGAATGAATTCATGTTTATAATTTCTTCAGATTTTTACTGCTTACTCTGCTCTAGGTAATGGCAAATAACCCTGTGAGCTCTCAGTTAATTGAGGTGAAGCTCACAGCTGATGTGATGACCCCATTAGCTGACCTAGAAGTAATTTCCATGCCAGAGGCCATTGCTGTAAACACCTCAACTTGCTACACAATTCAAGTAAAATCTGACATCTCTATAGGCGTTACAATCAGGTTAATGTCTCTGAATTATAATTGAGTTAAAATGATGAAATTAAGTTTGACCTCTTCTGAATGTATAATGCTCCATTATGCTATATTATGAAATGATTTATCTCTCCAGATGGGATTTTGGTGATAATACAGCATCTGTCAGTCACCCAGTTTCCACTCCTTTAGAGATGGAAGACAGCTATCTTCACCGAAGTGCCAAATATGTCTATCTGCAAGATTCCATCTATCATACATTTTCTTTTCCAGGTACTATAAATAATTTCAAATAATTTTTTTATATTTACTTTATAATTATTTATAAAAATGATTTATATGATACATTTTTGTTTTATAATTATTTATAATTATTAACCTAATATTAAAAAAATGTGTATTTTAGTCCTCATTAAAAGTTTTATCCCTAAAGAAATTAATTGTACTTTTAAAAATGAATTCATATTTAATAAATTAATCAAGACTGATTGCAATACATCATTAACTGAAACCATTTGCTTTTACTTGATGCTGCCAAAACCCCAAATCTGACAGCACAACATGAAATTACTGATACCTTTAAGTGGGAAAAAATACCTTGGGGAAAAAATGACACACTGAATGTATGTATTTATTTATTTATTTTTATTATTTTGTTTAGGTGACTACACACTGAAAATCAAGGCTTACAACCAATATGACCAAAGTGAATCGTTTGTAACTGTTAAAATAAGGACTCCAATATCAAGAATGTTGGTGTCATCATCTCCTACTGTATGTCAAGTCAACCACACCATCCTCTTTGAGGTCTCACTATGGCCCTCTTCATACGGAGTGCTTTATTCATGGAATTTTGCTGATGACTCTGATCAAGTTAAAGAATATTACAGTAAAGTCAGGCATGTTTATAAAAGACCCGGCACATACAATGTCACCATTCGTGCCAACAACTCCCTGTCGGTCTTGACTAACTATACAGCAGTGGAGGTAGTTGAGGCTGTCTCAGGTCTCCAGCTATATTACAACGGCTCCATTGAACTGAACTGCACCTTTGAAATCAGTGGCAGAGTATCTGCAGGCACACATATAAAATGGACCTTTGACTTTGGAGATGGGTCGATACTTAAAGATCACACCGGAAGCTCAGCCACTCACATTTATAAGTCTCTCGGAAATTACACTGTTCAGGTTACTGCTTATAATTCTGTGAGTAAAGATCACCGGTTAGTCAATGTGGAAGTCTATCGTTTGCTAATTTTACTAATTATCCCAACAGACTGCATTGTGAGTAAAGCAGAGATCAATTTTGAGGTATTGGTCAAAGGATACGTTCCAGTTTTGACTTTTGACTGGGATTTTGGAGATGGCACACCACTGTCTGTTGTTAAAGGAGATACAACTATCAGTCATACTTTTCTAAATTCAGGAACTTACACAGTTGGTGTAAATGTTCATAGCTTGTTGGGTTCAGCCCATTATGAAACCAGCATATGTGTTGAAACTCAAATAACAGATGTTACTCTGCATTCAGCCAAGAGTGCTGTAGCTGTGAATGAGGAAATATGCTATGTGGTTTCTGTGCTTCCCAAAGTAACAGATTATCTGTTTTGGTGGTATAACAATCTTTCTAGTGATACAGTCCCAGTCAAAGGCCAGTCACACCATTGCTTTGTTTTTCAAGAGGAGGGTTTGTATGAAATTTCAGTGCAGGTCCATAACAAAGTCAGCAATGGAAGAGCAAAAGCAACCATTTCAGTTCAAAGGCCTCTATCTAATCTATCCATAAAATATGAATGTAACCATGATGCAATGACTGTGAATCAGTCCTATTACTTTTGGGCTGAGCTTCCTTGTAAAATAGCTTCTTTTCAGTGGGACTTTGGTGATGGCTTCAAAAAGGAAGGTCAGAATCAGTCACACGTTTTCTGTTTTCCTGGGCGGTTTCGTGTAACGGCCACCGCATCTAATGTGATAAGTTCAGATTCTGTGTCCATAGAGATTGAGGTGCAGGCACCACTGTCATACTTAATGGTTAATACCAGTCAGCCATTTGTGGAGGCTGGAAAAAAGATACTGATAACAGCTCAGACTGATGTTAATGAAAATGTTGTGTTTTATTGGACTGTGAATCCTTCATCACCTCCAAAGCCTGGGACATCCACATTCATGCATGTGTTTCCTAAAGCAGGGGTGTTTCAGATTAAAGTCACAGCACAAAATCTTGTCAGTCGAGTAGAATCCATAACACACATTGAGGTTGTTGAGAGAATACATGGGGTTCGAATTCCATCTCAAGCGCTACAGTCTGGAAGATATTTCCTGACAAATCAGACCGTACTCTTGACGGCATCAGTGGCACGTGGTTCTAACTTGACCTATGAGTGGACTGCAAACCAAAGAATGGCAAGTAATAGCAAACAATTTCCACTTTTTACAAACAGCCCTGGTGATATACATGTCAAGCTGGTAGTATCCAATGTTCTTGGATCAGTAGATACCGACCTTTCACTGAGAGCAGTAGAGCTTGTGTCTGGTCTGAGTATTTCATCACCAATGAATGCTGTAGCCAAAGGAAAGCCAGTGAGGATATCTGTGAGCGTGTCATCTGGAACAGACCTTCGGTACTCATGGTTCCTGGATTCTGAGCATAGTCTTGTAATATCAGATGTGCCTTTTGTTCTGCATGTTTTTAAAGTTATCGGCATGGTCAAGATCAGAGTGTCAGTCTCAAATGTGTTTGGGTCTGATGATGCAATCAAGCTACTAATAATTCAGGAGAACATCTCTAAAGTGGACTTTCAGATAAATGGACAATTCAGACCATTTTTTGTAACATCAAATAGCCTCTTGTTGCTCCATGGCTCTGCAGGAACAGGAAATGTCCTTCATTGGGAATGGGTTTTAATGTTTCACAACAACACTGTTATGGTTCTTGCAGACAATCAAACTGTTAGCTATTCTTTTGCGGATGTTGCAGATCACCGTGTCTCACTTAATGCCTCAAATGACATTAGCTGGCAAACTGTTTCATATACAGTTACAGTTCAGGACGCCATCCAGGGAGTTTTACTTATGGCTAGCAGCAATGTAATATGCGAGGACGATCCGGTTACTTTCACACCATCTGTCTCCCAAGGAAGTGAAGTTTCCTTTTCTTTGGAGTTTGTTAATGCAAGTTATTCCGTAGCAATTTGGCTGAATTTTACCACCTCTTCTCTTTCAATCGGAAACCACCTTGTAAGAGCAACAGCAACAAATCATGTCAGTTACCAAACTGCAACAGTGATTGTCAGAGTTGTGGAAAGAATTAAAGGTCTGCATTTGATCGGATGTTGCTCTGCTGTCTTAGAGGCATCCAAAAACATCAGTTTTCAAGCGTCCAGTGGCTCACAAGCCAATTACCACTGGACTTTTCTATTAAATGGAGTCCAGTCCTCTCGAGAAATCGGGCAAAATGTTCACTTCACACCTTTCACTAATGGATCCCTGTCTGTTACAGTGGAAGCTGATAATGGCTTCTGCTCACAGTCCCTGACCAGTATAGCAACAATACAGAAGTATGTGAAGAAAGTGAAGCTTTTTACCTCCCATGATGGAACTTTTATTGATTATCCGATCACATTTGTAGCCATCACAGATGGAGGCAGCAACCTTAAATTCCTTTGGGATTTTGGTGATGCCAGTGAAGGAGCCCTGGTTACAGAATCCAATAGACAAGTCCACAAATACAATGTTACTGGTGTGTTTGTTGTGAAATTAACAGCTTACAACAACATAAGTGAGGTCTCCACTCAAATTACAATTAAAGTACAAAAGCTGGAGTGTACCCAGCCACACGTCTACATTGTAAAAGATCAATATAAAATATTAAAATGCAGACCAAGTTTCTTTGAAGCAAGAGTGGACTTCAACAGTTGTGTTACACACAAAGCATATTATTTCTGGGAGATCCACAGGGGCCAAGATTGCTCAGGAATGGACAAGGTGTCCTTAAATGATTCAGTGCATGTCACAACACCGCTTCTTTCTCTGCCAAAGCACTCTCTGAAAGTGGGAAACTACTGTCTGACATTTACTGCTAAACTTCGAGGAACTCCTCTACAGCAGAACAGGACCGTACCGCTTACCGTGGTCCACAGTGAGTTGGTGCCTGTGATTAAAGGTGGTTCTCACAGGTTCTGGTCAAGTCAGTATGACCTGATTTTGGATGCAACTGAGTCTTTTGATCCAGATTCAGAGGAGAATGATATCGAGTTGTTTCAGTTCCAGTGGGGTTACACTATAGAGGTACAGTACATCACAAATGCAGTAAATACTTGATTCGCTAACATAAACATTCAATTGATGGTGTATTCTGTGCTTCCAGAACACAACAGCAATGTCTTCAGCTGTTTCCAGCCTTAATCAACATATTCCAGGAAATGGAAGTATACTGCTTCTTCCTAGAAGTGCACTGCTGCCAGACAGAATGTACCACTTTACTCTCACCCTTTACAAAAGTGGACGACAACCTGTCTCTATATCACAGTTGGTGAGTGTTAACTTATTTTACTTCACTTTGCTTTCAGCATTTCACTATGAACATATTTGTCATTAATATTAACGTCAGCATTTCCTCACACTCATTACGTGCTAAACCTGTATGACTTTCTTTCTTCTCTGGAACATAAGAAAGATATTTTGAAAATTGAAAAAAAATAAAGTCAATGGTGTTTGTTATTTTGGTCCCCACTGACTTTCATTGGACAGAAGCACTTGAAACATTCTTGAAAATATCCAAATGTCTCATTCAGATTTGCACTCTCCACAATTTCTAACCATAGAATAAAGAAAATGTACAGATAAAAATGCTTTGTAATGTTACAGTTTATTCCAGCTCACATTTTACTGAAAATTATGTTCACGGAAATTCTGTTAAAGGGATAGTTCATCCAAAAATTAAAATAATTTAGTCTCTTGTCATTCAGAATGCATAAGATATTTATGCATTATGCATTAGGATAGAGGTTTTTGGTAATTAAAAAAAAAAGTAGAAACCCTTCAATGTCTCCATGTTTCAAAAGAAAATGTCTTTAACTCTGTTTTTATTCTTGCAGGTTACAGTGTACAATACCACGTTGCTACCTGTGACTGTTAAGTGCGTCTCCTGTAATTCCCTGCTGTCTTTCCATGTGAGGCACAGCCATTACATTGCATTGGCTGGTCATTGTTCTTCATGTCAAGACACTGTACAGGTATTCAATTCACAATGTACCTTAAAATAACTTCATACGCCTTCAGTCTCTATCTCTCTTTCTCTCTCTCACACACATACCTTAATAATGTTTTAAAACACTTCAACTACAGTACAGGTGGACTGCAGAGAATCTGAAAGGTGAAGTTCTAACACTGAATGAGGTCACTACCTTGACAGGAAGTCTCTGGAGAGAAATAGTCATTAAACCAGGGGTGCTAATGGAGGGCCAAGAATACACCTTTACTCTCAACGTGTCTGAACCAGCCTCTGGGCTTTGGGGGTCGGCAAGCATCACCTTAGTCCCCAACCATCCTCTCTATAGGGGTATTTGCACTCTGTCACCCGACGACTCACTTCATTTCCTAGAAACCATGGTCTCTTACAGTTGCTCAGGTAGTGTCATTTCTCTTTTCCTCTTATTTCTCACCCAAGTAATGGCTCTGCGGATTGATGCATTCTTTGCTATTTTTTTCTCAATGGCAGAGTGGATGGATGATGACAGTGACTCAGCTCAGCTGATATTTTCACTGCAGGTGGCACAGTGTGAACATTTTGGACCATTATGTCCCTTGATTACCCTTTACAGGGGCACTCAGAGCACGTTCAGCTCCCTGGTGCCACTGGGTAGACTGAGCACAGAGGAAAACGTATCTGTTATTTACGTGCTGGTGCTGGTCGAGGACAGTATGGGGGCATCAGTCATCGCAGCAAGAAAGTTAGTCAGTCAGCTGCTTGGCAGTTGTATATAGTCAGATCAAATTTGACCAAAAATCACAGCTCCAAAATTACAATTGATATTTTCTGCAGGAACCTGACAGTGCTGCTGAGTGACCAATGTACAACAGAGTGGTTGAGGAATAAGAGCCAGTCAGAGTTATGGGCCTTGCGCCAACAAGGCAACCCTCAGGACATTACTCAATATTCTGTTGCCCTGAGCAGCCAACTTAATCAGGTAACTGAGATAGCCCTGACAAACCAGTTGTCTGAATGTTTATTAATAGGTGTACTCAGAATCATCCTAATTAAAAAGAGTAGTATACTGGATGGATAAAATAGATAATAATAATAATAATAATAATAATAATAATAATAAAAACATACACACTCACATAAAATGTTCATAATGGTGAACTGAATTAATAACTTCAATGAGAATGCTTTTAAATTCCAAAAGTGTGATTTGTATTTGTGGTAGCAAACCAGATGCCAACATTTTAGGAAGTAGAATTATAATAAACTAAAATTCAAATAAACTCATAGAATCATAGTAGGTGTAATTTTAAATTAAGAAATTTTAAAGACAGGCAGGCAGATACATCTGTTTGAAATGTCACTTCTGTTGACGTGTTGTTATTCGTGTATTTAGATAAGATATGTATATGGAAAATAATGCTGGAAGAACACTTTATTTTCCCAGAATGCCATTAACTGTTGAACTTCTCTGAAATGTAATTGTAATGTAAAATTGCACCTCCCATTTTAATTCAAATTCCAACTCATTAACTAAAAGGGGGCCAAGTTCTTAAAAGGATTCACCCAAAAATGAAAAATCTGTCATTCTTTACTCACCCTGATGTCATCCAAAACTGCATGACTTTCTTCTGTGAAACCTAAAAGAATATATTTTGAGAAATGTCTCAAGTGTTTTTTTCGCCTCTGTACAGTGGAAGTCACTGGGGTCAATGTTGTTTGGTTCCCAATATTCCTCAAAATATCTTGTTTTGTGTTCCACAGAAGAAAGAAAGTCATACAGGTTTGTAATGCATGAGGGTGAGTAAATGATGACTGAATTTTGGGCAAACTGTCCCTTTAAATTCTGAATTTAAAGGGATAGGTAATCAGCCATTGACAATATTTGCTTTTTGTGTAGTTGCATCCACACCACGAGGTGTCAGTCCAATACATCTGTCATAAAATACATGATACTTGAGTTTATGTGATTCTCCACCTATTTTGTTAGAAAATTTGTTTCTCAATCAAAATCAACCACTTCCACAGCTAGCATCCATAAATGCTGAAGAGTTGGAGGACAGGATTCAGATACGTGGAAATGTCATTCAGGCTCTAGCGTCTCTGCCGGTCTCCTCCTTGCAGGATGCGGCTCTGATCAGCTCAGCTTTGGCCCAGTCTACAGTAAGGCTTTTAACTATTAAAGCTTATGGACAATATAGCATTAATCAACATTAAACATAGCCTGACACAAAGTATGTCAGCATTTTAGAGATCCAGTATAATGTGATACGAGAAGCTGAGGCCTGTCACTGAATACAGATTGCCTGCTGTGCATAATGAGGAGTGCTACCTAAGATCAAATTATTGTCACATGTGATGTTGCGAATGCAAATGCTTAACTGTAAAATGTACTTTCCTGTCTGCAGGTGGTTCCCTCTGAAGTGCAGTGCAACGGCTGCTGTGCAAAGGTGCTGAAGGTCACAGAGAAGATGATCAAAGTGATAAGAGAACAAACAGGACAGGGTGACATCAACCCCACAGACACCGGCAGGAACATTCTGGCTGTTTTAAGTAACTACGTTCAGCAGAATTCATATTCAGTATGATAACAGAGGTTCACTCTGAAGTTGAAAATGAACCGTGGCTTAACCATCCTTCCATTTTCACTGCAGGCAGCACACTGACTGCTGATCAGAGGCAGAGGAACAATTCAGTCCTCAAGCATGTGGATACATCAGAGACAGCTGTATCAGCACTGGGCCAGATTTTAGAGCTCATGCGTTCATTAATGCTGTCACGGATGAGTGGAGAAGAAGCTCTCTCTCTCGTTGTTCCTAAGATCACTGCGGTGGGTGTACGGGGTGACCCTACTAAAGACCTCCTGTGCACAAATCCCCTTAGCCACTGCCAGTTTCACATCCCATCAGCACTGAGCTCTCAACTAAAGGAGGAAAAACAAGAGGTCCTGCAGATCCTTCTGCAAATGGAGGGTGAAGAAAACCCATTTATTCCAGCTGCAGAACCTGCTATATCAACCACACTTGCAGCCATGGAGTTTGCTACACCACAGGGGCAGCCCATTTCAATCACCAACCTGACACTAGACACTGCGATACAATTTACTTTACACAAAAAAGTACAAGAGATGGAAGATGAGAGGTTACTATGGAAAACATTTACTCTGCCACCCAAGGGAAATGTAAATTTTACAGTCAAAGCAACGGACCTCAGAGATCCTCAGACTGGCCTCTATGTTGCCTTAAACTTCAGTCTCATTCCAGGTAATATACACTAGCCAGTGCATCTTTAGTTTTCAGTATATAATATAATATAATATAATATAATATAATATAATATAATTATATTATATTATATTATATTATATTATATTATATTATATTATATTATATTATATTATATTATATTATAACATGTAGCAGTGTTCATTATATTTTATTATTTTATATTACCATTTCAAAGTATATTTTTTTAAACTTCTATTTAGCAAAGATGCATTAAAATCATCAAAAGTAACACTAAAGACATTTATAATATTACAAAAGATAAACCTGTGTTATGTATTGTGGAGCAGGAGCTGGTGAGGAAGCCTCTGGACTAGTATGGATCGCTGTAGATGACCAACTAGTTCATCCACTGTCTGAACACACTCATTCTGAGGAACTCAGTCTCTCTCTTTCAGCTGGGACTCCATCACTGGAGCACACCATCTTCCTTACACCGATGTAAGTTCTTCCTGTTCTTTCCTTAATTAATTTCATTGAAAATAGTGATGATCAATATTGCGTTAGTTTAAACAAAACTAACTGTTTCACTGTGTCTGTAAACTGCAGCCTGAATGGCTCTGCCAAAGATCTGTTTGTGAAGCTGAATGGTAGCGTCAGCGGTGTGGACGTGTCCGTCTCAGTGTGTGTGTTCAGCATGCTGTGCCGGTTCTTCAGTGTTGACGAGAGGCGCTGGAGAAGTGATGGCTTGAGTCCTCTGAGTGGCAGCAGCCCCCATACTGCCCACTGCCTCACACATCACCTCACTATGTTTGGAGCCAGCCTCTTCATCCATCCTGAAGCACTTCTACTGCTGCCACCTGTATGCCATTTTGTTTAAAGATATAACATAATTTCACCATTAAAGGGAATATACACTACTATTTAAAAGTTCAAAAGAAATTAATATTTTTATTCAGCAAGGATGCATGAAATTGATCGAAAGTGACAAGACTTTTAGATTGTTACAAAAAGTTTCCATTTCATATAAATTAAGTTCTTTTCACTTTTTATTAATACAATGATTAATTAAATAATTGTAATTAATAAAATATTAATTACAATGATTTCTGAAGGATCATAATTTATCATCATAAATTACATTTTATTATCTATTAAAATAGGAAACATTTGTTTTTTTATTGTAATATTTCATATTTTTTATATTTAGTTTTGATCTAATAAATACAGCTGTGGTGAGTGACTTCTTTAAACAACATTTAAAAAATCTTATTAACCCTAAACCTTTTAACGGTAGTGTGTATTACATTATTTAATTTATATAATGAAATGATTGTAATGGTCAGTGGGTGTCAGTGTTGAAAAATTTTATTTTAAATTATAATAATAATCACCTCACTATGTTTGGAGCCAGCCTCTTCATCCATCCTGAAGCACTTCTACTGCTGCCACCTGTATGCCATTTTGTTTAAAGATATAACATAATTTCACCATTAAAGGGAATATACACTACTATTTAAAAGTTCAAAAGAAATTAATATTTTTATTCAGCAAGGATGCATGAAATTGATCGAAAGTGACAAGACTTTTAGATTGTTACAAAAAGTTTCCATTTCATATAAATTAAGTTCTTTTCACTTTTTATTAATACAATGATTAATTAAATAATTGTAATTAATAAAATATTAATTACAATGATTTCTGAAGGATCATAATTTATCATCATAAATTACATTTTATTATCTATTAAAATAGGAAACATTTGTTTTTTTATTGTAATATTTCATATTTTTTATATTTAGTTTTGATCTAATAAATACAGCTGTGGTGAGTGACTTCTTTAAACAACATTTAAAAAATCTTATTAACCCTAAACCTTTTAACGGTAGTGTGTATTACATTATTTAATTTTTTATTTAATTTATATAATGAAATGATTGTAATGGTCAGTGGGTGTCAGTGCTGAAAAATTTTATTTTAAATTATAATAATATTTCACAATATTACTGTTTTTACTGTAATTTTGATCATACAAATGCAACCTGGTGAATATATAAGACTTCTTTCAAAAACAATAAAAAAAATTTAAAAAAAACTTACAGACCCCAAATGTTTTAACAATACTGCATTTAAACATGACAAACCTGACAAATCAGTGATGAACATTATTTGTGTCACCAGTCAGAGGAGCCAGTGAGGAATGTGGTGGTGGGAATAGTTTGTGGAGTCTTGCTGTTAATTTATCTGCTGGTTGGTCTTATCGCTCACAAACTGGATCACCTGGAAAGTCTACGTCTTAGCTGGGTTCCTCTGTGTGGTCAGAAAGGTCACTACAAGTACAGGGTTCTTGTCAAAACAGGCTGGAAAAAAGGGTCTGGTGAGTAGAACCTTTAATTTACATGCTAAAAATATTCATCGACCTCATAAAACTCAACAAACATTTGAATTCATCAGGTACCACTGCACATGTTGGCATTAGCCTGTATGGCCTGAATAAAAGTGGCTCACGTCACCTTCAAAGAGAAGGAGCTTTCCAGAGGAATAGCGTGGATGACTTCCAAGTTGAAACAGATGCCAATCTCGGAGAGATCTGGAAAATACGCATCTGGCATGACAACACAGGTCAGTGGCTGTGAATAGCTTCCTTCTTTCTTTCTAAAATAACAAATACTCACAAACAATGCTCTATTTTCCAGGCCTAGACCCATCCTGGTACCTAAAACATGTGATAGTCTGGGACATACAGACAGACAACATGTTCTTCTTCTTGGTAGAAGACTGGTTATCTGTGGAGAATGAGAAGAACTCTGGAAGGGTGGAGAAAGTTATTTTAGCGTCTTGTAAGTATACACATGCAGTACAGCGTAAATCATATTTGCTTTTCATAACCTTGTGATCCTTGTAGGTCCTCAGGAGCTGCAGCAGTTTAAGAGGATCCTACATTCCCAGTTACTGTTTGGCCTTCAAGAGCACCATCTCTGGATTTCATTATGGGAACGGCCGGCCCACAGCCGCTTTAGCCGAGCCCAGAGGGTCACCTGCTGTGCCCTCTTATTACATCTCTATCTGGCAGCTGGGGCAGTTTGGTATGGAGCAGTGGGCAGAAAGGGCAGCAGGTAATAGACTTGACCTTCAAAAGGCATGGATAACAGATTGAGCTTGCATAGCTTACAGTGTAGGTGCAGGTAATTACATCTTGTAAAACAAAGCTATTTCTGTTTTTCTCTGAGCTACAGAAGTCTTCGCTATTGATTAATGGCACAGGAGAATAATATTCATCACTAAACAAATTAATGAATTTCCTCTCATTCCTCTCAAAACAAATGGGTTTCACATTCTTCACATTTGTTACTGTTCCGACTGCAGCGGCCCGGTCTCTACCCAGATGGTGATGAATGCAGAAAACATTCTGGTTGGAATAACAGTTGCAGCTTTGATGTTCCCTCTCCAAACCATTCTCAGATTTCTCTTCCAAAACACCAAAAGCAAGGTATATACTGTACGTCAGTCTACATAATCCCTTCTGAAACCATACTGTAGATATTATATTTTAAGTTAAACTACCATTCAAAAGTTTGGGGTTGGTAAGATTTTTTTAATGATTTTGAAAAGCGTCTGTTTGCTCACCAAGGCTGCATTTATTTTGATCAAAAATAAAATAAACAGTAATATTGTGAAACTTTTTTCTATTTTAATCTATTTTAATATGTAATTTTATTTCTGTGATGGCAAAGCTGCATTTTCAGCAGCCATTACTCCAGTCTTCAGTGTCACACAATCCTTCAGAAATCATTGTAATATGCTGATTTGGTGCTCAAGAAACACTTCCTATTACTGTCACAGATGAAAACAGTGCTGCTTAATATTTTTGTGGAAATCATGATATTATTTGAAATAGAGATCTTTTGCGACATTATAAATGTCTTTGCTGTCACTTTTGATTAATTCAATATGCTTAATAAAAGTGTTAATTTCTTAGTCTTAATGACCCCAAACTTTTGAGTGGTAGAGTGCATTCATGAAAAACCCACACTCATAGTGCAATGCTGATGGATTGTGTTGAAGGTGACATTGGCGGTATCTCTGCCTCCCTCTCCTGTGTCTCATACTGTGGAGATGGATGTTTTCCTCAGTCACCCAGATCTCTCCTGTTCATCTTTTCTGTCACTGCCGACAGGCCCTGACTCTTCCATCTATGATGGACCATCTCCTTTCACTGTGAGAGAAAGTCCATTCCCATGTTTAATTAATTGGTTTTATAGAGAGTCATCAAGCATAATTTCCTAAATGAATACATTACTGCATATTCTCTCTGCATCTTTTTTCCCCCCTCAAAGAATTCCCTGCAGAAACTAGATTCAGAGTTCTGGAATACTCCAGATCCTGGGAATGACCGGTACCAAGTCTATTCTACGTGAAATTGCAGTACTACATCCCTTTAAACGGTTTATGTAAATATACAGTGTTATTTTACAAATTTTACAGAATGGATCAGTGGCCATCATGTGACAGTATCTTTGGCCTGTCTGAGCTGACAGGAACCAGTCACCTTCTGAAGAGAAAAAAAGCCATTCTACAACTACATTTGTCAACTCCGACCTCTGACCACAACACCTTAGAGCCAATCAAGTCTTCAGGTTTGAAGAAACACAATCACTCTCTGGAATGAAAGATTCTGTCATTATTTACTCACCCTCACGTTGTTCCAAACCTGTATGAATTTCTGTGGAACACAAAATATTTTTTGTGCTCTTTTCCATATAATAAAAGTGAATAAGAACGGGGGCTGTCAAAATCCAAAAGGGCAAAAGTGCACCCTAAAAATCATCTATACAACTTGTTCACTATATTTTATGTTTTCAGAAAAAAAAAATCATACAGATTTGGAACAACATGAGGGTGAGCAATCGATTACAGAATTGTTTCGTTTTTAGGTGAATTATTTCTTATATGGAACCATTTGCTCTTTTTTAGAGGAAGATCTTAGCACTATAACTGCAGACTTGGATCCCTCAAACACACTTTCCTTGGAGCCAGAAGCATCTGACAGTGGCCATTTCACACCCAACGACACCATCCTGTCTGACATGTGAGTTCTGTACTGAACGTTTCACAGTTTAACCAGGATACGTGATCACATACATTTCTTTTTCAGCCAGGACAGCTTGTGTAGTGAGTGGTCTGATCTGAGTGTGGATACGCCTACATCTGAACCTGGCTTTCACAAGTCCTCCTCCTCACTCTCAGTGCTCAGTGATGCCAGCACATTTCTCCCTAGTCTCCCACCCGACTCTATAAGCACCATCTCCAACACACGCATTGGTGAGCGCACACAGGGAGAGAATTGATCTTTTCAATTGAGATATTGAAAGGTGGTAAGACACATGCTACAACACGTTGTGCAAATTAGACTTGTGACCATGAGTGAACATGTGGTCATTTCCTGATCACAATACCAAAAGTTTGGGGTCAGTAAGATATATTTTTGTTAATGTTTATGAAAGTTGCTTATGCTCACCAATGCTGCACTTATTTGATAAAAATACAGTAAAAACAGCAATATTGTAAATTATTACAACTTAAAATAACTGTTTTCTATCTTAAAGTATTTTCAAATGTAATTTATTTTTGTAATGGCTGAATTTTCAGCAGCCATAACTCCAGTCTTCAGTGTCACATGATCCTTCAGAAATCATTTTAATATGCCGATTTCATGCTCAAGAAACATTTATTCTTATTATATTTTGGTATACATTTATATTTATATTTATATTTATAATGGTATATATTTTCTTTGAAAAATAGAAAGTTCAAAAGAACAGGAATTTTTTTTATTTTTTTTATTTATTTAATTTAATTTTAAAAAATTGTCTTTACTGTCACATTTGGCCAATTTAGTATTAGACCAAGTATTCATATTAATAAAAAAAATTACTTACCACAACATTTGAGTTTGAACAGTAGTGTATACATATTGAGAGAGAGAGAGAGAAAAACTAAATATCACAAAATATATAATCAAAATGTATGTGTATCATTTTAATTGTTTTGTCTGTGTGTGAACCTCTGTATGGGCTGTTCTTCAGGTGCTGAATTTTCAGCAGCCATAACTCCAGTCTTCAGTGTCACATGATCCTTCAGAAATCATTTTAATATGCCGATTTCATGCTCAAGAAACATTTATTCTTATTATATTTTGGTATACATTTATATTTATATTTATATTTATAATGGTATATATTTTCTTTGAAAAATAGAAAGTTCAAAAGAACAGGAATTTTTTTTATTTTTTTTATTTATTTAATTTAATTTTAAAAAATTGTCTTTACTGTCACATTTGGCCAATTTAGTATTAGACCAAGTATTCATATTAATAAAAAAAATTACTTACCACAACATTTGAGTTTGAACAGTAGTGTATACATATTGAGAGAGAGAGAGAGAAAAACTAAATATCACAAAATATATAATCAAAATGTATGTGTATCATTTTAATTGTTTTGTCTGTGTGTGAACCTCTGTATGGGCTGTTCTTCAGGTGTTGTTCGTGGTGTACCTGGCTTGTTTCTTCCATCATGGGTTCTGCGTATGGTTTATCTGCTGGTGGCTGTTTTGCTGGGAACAAGCCTGGCTCTGGTGGGACTATATGGGAGCAGGTTTTCCAGCTCTGTGGTTCTCATGTGGCTGGTGTCTGCCCTGTCAGCCTTCCTCACTTCTGCCTTGCTGTTGGAACCATTTGCAGTGAGTTATAAACGTATTTTGCACTGTTTCTTAGATTAAAATAAATTGAAAAATGTAGATGTTTATGTTCTGATATTTTTCTGCAGGTATGTATTCAGGCACTATATCTGGCTGCTGTGGTGAAACCAGTGGACCCAGAGGTGGAGGACCGTTTGGCTCAGGAGACAGAAGTCAGAAGGACAGAAGAGGATCTGGGGGATAAGGTGCATCCTCTTTGTGGATACGGCCTGCTGCAGGCTAAAGAGGAAGCACGGAAGCTGAGAACACTTAGAGCCTTAATGAGGGTGAGCTCAGACCCACAGATGAATCCATTCAGCACTCATTTAGTCCTCAGAGACCTATAACAGCTGGATTTCTCCTGCATTCTGACTCTAATGCATATTAATATTAATTTTAATGGTCTTTTGTTTCATGTTTTACGCTGATAATCAGAGCTGCTTAGTCTATATGCTCTTCCTGTTGGTGGTTCTGATGGTGAACTACCAGGAATATGTTCATGAGGCTAACAGCAGACGGCTTCACTCGGCTATTAAACACACACTGATCACGACTTTACCAGGTCAGCCCAGTCTCACTGCATTATCAGGGTAAGTCAGACTCTTTATATTCACTTCCCCCAGTAACCCTCATGTTCTGCTGAAACTGACTCTGAGGTCCTAGAGACCCCTGAGATTTGTGTAAAAATAATTAGGTTGGTGTCTCTTTTAAATATGTTCCTCCGACCTAATCAAAACTTTAAATGCAATTCAGAAATCTGACTTTAGTTTAGTAATGCTGCTTAATTTTGAAGTCTGAGAGACCATATAAACGGCTTGAAAATTGGTTAGAAAGTTTATTATAATAACAACAAAAGTACAAGATAACTAAAAAACAAAAGACTGTAAGAAGAGCATGTTGGTGAAACATGCATGACAAAACCAGACAATGAACACAGGAAACACGAGGGCTTATATACACAGGGGTTAACTAGACTAACTGAACACATCCAGCAACCATCAGGCTAAGGGAAATTAGGAAACTGGAACAGGAACCAAGCAAAACTACAAAATAAGAGTCTGCATTACAAAACAAGGGCACAAAGAATGGAAGAATATATATTCTAAAAATGGATAAAACTAACAAAATGAATTGCAACTTGTCATGAATCAGTGAAAGTAATTTTACGTCAACCTTTTTTTTTCTCATAGATGGATGGATGCAGAACAGTGGGTAGATGAGAGATTAATATCACACCTGTTTGAAAACCCTTCTCTTTCTTTAACTGGCCCTGCAAGACTGCAGAAAGTTCATTTTCAAGACTGTAAGGACTTACGTTGTTAGGTCAAATTTAGCTTTTTGAGAATTTGCTAAAAATATATATAAATATAGAATTTGATTCTTCCCTCCTCAAAGTCTGCAGTCAAGACATCAGAGATAAGTTCCAATCTGGTCGACTTCCTTTGATGCTGACTGCTAATGTTTCATCACATGCCAACCCTGCACACCAGCGCTCCTCAACACACAGCAAGAACACTGCAGCACTTTCAACATGGTGAGAGATAACAGGACACTAAGAGAAAGACTTTTAGTGTGTGAATAAGTTGTCATGCAGCCTGAAAAGCTCAGAATATAACAACGTTTTCCTTAGTGCATTTTTCTTCTGGCATATAATCACAATGTCCTCTCTCAAGGCCGAGGACTGAGAGTGCATCATGTGCATTCAGTCAGACAGAGGAAGTAGTGCTTGGGAACAACAGTGAATTCACACGTCGGATCCTGTCGGGCTTACAGACAACAAAGTGGATGACAACAGGGTATGATGTCACGCCATTATACACAAAATAGCACTACAGAATAAAACCTTGTTCTCTAAATGTCCAGACTTGTACTTAGGACCTTTCTGCATGCATGCTGTAAGTATGGAAGTTATATAGAGTTATTAGTACCAGAGACCCAGCATGCTCATCAGCTCAATGATTTTTGATTCTTATGTTTTCTGTGACAGGACAAAGGCAGTATTGATTGAGTTCACTCACTATCATAAACAGACAGGCGTCTTAGCACCGGTCTCTATTCTCCTGGATCAAACACAGACAGGCAGAATCCTTTCTTTCATTTCCATCCAGCCTTTACACGTCTCTCCATTATCTGGTCCAGACTTACACGTCACATTGACGGTACTGACTCTCCTAGTTCAGATTCAGTTTGAACAGAATCTTAAAAAGTTGGATCTGTGGTCTTCTTGTGGACTTCTACAGTACTGCGACTGTATTAACAGCTGTCTTCTTACTAGGTTCTGCTACTGCTGTTTGCCCTGTGCTTTGTGAGTGCTGAAGTATGGGCCTTGATCAGAAAGCCAAGTCAATACCTGAGGCAAGCCTGGCGCTGGTTTCAGCCATTGTTAGCTCTTCTGACGCTAGCAGCAGCTGTTCTTCGTCTGTATTTCCTCTACACGACTGCAGCCTTCATCTCCAGACATTGCTCCAGGCCCTCCTGCTTTGCTGACTTCCATAGTGCTGCCACACTGGCCAGAAAGTCCAATCAGCTCTCAGCAATTTTATTAACCCTCTTGGTTCTAAAGGTATTAGCCCTTAAGCAAAGGATTTTTTAAACTAAATTTGCATTCCTAAATGAAATGCCAGTACATGCTGCAAAAATAGCATAAAAAATATGTTAAAGTGAATTGGCATGATCTGTTTTCTAAATGGATGGTAGTGATCTTAAATGCATGTTATTGATTTATTATTTCCTATGTTTCTTTTTTTATGTAATTTTATTCAAAATTAAATAACTGGATCTTTTGATGAAACGACATACTTCTCTCTGGTGAAACCTCACCCCTTTTTTAAATTTGACCTCAAGCTCACATTCAGACCTGCCTCCATTCAAATTAACATATAATTCATTGAAGTCCCGGCACTACATTTTTTTTCTTTTTTTTTCAATGATCCATTTTACTCGGATGTACCTCACAATATAGAAGAAGAGATCTGTCACTACTTCCTTTACATTACAACTTTAGCAAAGCTTGTAATCATATAAATACAATACAAAAATGTAAATAACATACTGTAAATATAGAAAGAAAATGGGAAATACATTAACAGCATTATGCATATAACAAAAAAAATGAACTACATCACAATTTGTGACCAATCACAATTTAGCATGCAAATATTATTATGACACTTCACTTCAGCAGCATTAAACTAAGTTCATGGGAGATTTTAAAGCATAAGCTTGCATTTCTTATAAAGTAAAACATTTATAAAGACGATATATATTTTAGGACACCTGTGACTTAAGAAATGATCTACGAAGCAAAAATTGAAAGTCATCTGTAATTTTTGAGTTGAATTAATTGCGGAAATGTTATACTTAAAGTACCTTTCAAGCACTGCAATGAAATGTATTCTGTTGAAGTCAAGCTCTGTTATCAAACAATCTGTTTGTCAGTCAAAGTGTAGCTCAGGACTTGAGAGGTATGTTTTTACAGATGGTGGGGATCCTGCGGTTTGTTAGGCGATGGTTGGTGATAGGACGGGTTATTCGACAAGTATTCCCTCAGATCTGTGGCGTGGTGTTCCTGCTGCTCCTCCTGTTGCTTCTGTTCTCTCACACGGGCATCATGGTAGAATGTTTTGGGGGTTTTTTGGCTCATTTGACATTGCATTGTATTTTTTCTTTAAAGGGGTCATATGATGCTGCTAAAAAGAACATTATTCTAGGCCTGACGAAGCGGATATCGTCCTCTTTTGGAAGACCAAACAACGTAGTTTCGCTTTCACAACAAATCACACAGTGCCTTCACGACATGGCGGCGGCAACAACAATACTACAGCGAGAATAAAAGTTACGCCTTCTTTCTTTGCGTGAACATTTGGGCGGCGTTATGCAAATTGTCCCACATAGTGACGTAGACATGTGGGGGCGTGTTAGAACGAGCTGTTTTAGGTAGGCGTGGCTGACTCTTAACTTTTATAAAGAATATCTCTTTGGATTTGAGACTTTAGTCTTTGCAACTTTACAGATCTTCTTTATGCACCAAGAGCTTGTAACACTCCAAAGAGAAAGGAAAAATTGAAATCGCATCATATGACCCCTTTAAATCTTTTTTTGCTTCTCAAATGCAGCTCAAGTCATTCTCTCCATCTCTTTCAGCTCTTCTCGGGTTCAGTAGAGGGCTTTAGGACCTTAGGGCAGGCCAGTTCCTCTCTGCTGTGTTTGTTAAGGGGCCACATGGGGTTGCGTCGACTTTGTGAGCATCATCCTGTGGTGGGACCTCTCTACTGCCTGTCTGCCGTGGGCATTGGATTTTGGGTACTGGGGCGCCTATGTGCTGCTGTATTGATTCGAACATACCGAATGGTACAGGCAGACATTTACAGACCATCCATGGAGCCGCAGGATTATGAGATGGTACAGTTCCTCATTAAACGCCTCAAGCTATGGATGGGGCTTAGCAAGACCAAAGAGGTAAAAATACCATGTCTGACTATTATATATAATCCCCCCACCCCAATTTTCCTTTTTTTAACTATGAAAGTCAATAAGCATGTTTTATAGAGGGACATTTGTGTTCAAACAAAGTTCAATAGTAGAGAGTGCATCTCTGGGAAAACTGTAACGTCGAGGTGATCTCTGGTCTAGGGTTTGAAACAGTCCATCAAAGAAAATTTTAGGATGACTATGGCACTCTTTCAGATTAAAAAGCCTTTATTATCAGATGGCTACATAAAAAAAAAAATCGACAAACTCTCCAACACATTTCGGACCATGCCTTCCTCAGGGAGAGTAACACAGGACATTTGGGTTCATTGACATTTAGTTTTACATGTATTTATTCAGTCGACACTTTAATCCAAGACTCGTCTAGAGATAATTAGAAAAAATATATATAAATGGATAAATAAATCAAAATTAATTATAAAATTATAAAATATAAATCATATTTATATAAATCATATTTATAAAAAAAATGACATATAAAAAATCTAACTTTTGAATGGGACATGTATGGTACTGCATGTAACAAACAGCCGGATATTTACAATACCATACAAAAGTTTGGGTAAAATAATTTTATTTAGCAAGGATGCATTATATTGATCAAAAGTGACAGTTAAAAATATTAAGCGTTCAAAAACTTTCCAACATTAATAATAATGAGAAATGTGTCTTGAGCACCAAATTAGCATATTATTTAATTCTGAAGGATTATGTGACACTGAATTAATGGCAGTTTTGCAATCATAGGAATAAATTACATTTTAAAATATATTCAAATAGAAAACAGTTATTTTAATATTACGGTTTTATTGTATTTTTTATCAAATAAATGCAGCCTTGGTGAGCACTTCTTACAAAACATTAAAAAAAATCACTGACCCAAAACTTTGGAAGTTTACGGACATCACCTTTAACTCTAATACACAATATAATGCGATGCATATTTCAAAATATGGGTAAAACACCTGTGAAAAATCAATGGAAAACATGGAAGTACAGGACTTTATGGACTTCGCTTGGAGTATATATATATATATATATATATAAATAAACAAACCTATTCATTTTTATTTCCTTTGTAGTTTAGGCACAGAGTCAAGTTTGAGGGAATGGTTCCTCCACCCTCTAGATCCTCCCAGGGCTCTGAAGCCTCCAACTGCTCTGTCCCGCTCAGTCCCATCGGTCCTCGCCAGGTATCATCTGCCTCTTCTTTGGCCTCCAATTCATCTGTCATTTCAGGGTGTTTTGACTTCCACCATTATGTGGACCGCCTGGTGCCCTGTGTTGACAGCCTCATGGCCGGTTTCGACCGCGTCAGCCAGCTGACTGAAGAAGTCTATAACTTTGAGCTCCAACTTCAGCAGATCCAGAGCAGAATTTACCAGAGAAGAAAGTCTCAGCCTCAGCAGGTGACCTTCGAGGGACGTGATCCAACACCAAAGCTGTCACCGCTCCCTCAACATCCATCTACCTCTGTTTTGGAATGTAACCACACTCCAGCTTCTCTTCAAGGTGTCATTAATACCCTTCCACATTGCCGTGCTACACACTCAGAGTCCTCCCTGATGGGGCCTGCTGCTCAGTTAGGTAAGAGAATACTTTCTGCACTGGATGGAAGCATGAACAGCCCAAACCTGAGAAAATGGGGTGTCCCAAGACGCAGGGCCTGGAATTCAGTCACCTGCCATTCTGCTGACACTGCTCAGAGGTTACCTGGATCTCACAGCACTGTGGCCTTGCCAGTGAGACCCCGGAGTGAAGACGGAGACCGAGAGCATGTATGTGACAGCATGCCGATTAAGAGACGGGCATGGCACACTGAATAAGAGTTTCAAATATGGTATTATTATATTAAATATGAATAATAATTTTGCTCTTCATTTTTATTTTTTGACACAGTGAATGCACAGTGTTAGTCACAACCGCATTAGATTTTGTAAATTGTATTTCTACCTCTTGACTGGAGGCTTTCCATTACTTTTTATGTAGAAGTGTTTGTTTCCCTTTGATTTCACTACAATCAGTCTTCTGGGACACGTATCTTGTTGTATGTTGAGGAATCTGTTTTGTTTTTGCCAATAAAATGACACGGCCATGCAAACTGTGGCTTAAACATCAGAATATTTGTGTTTATCATTCAAAACCTTTTAAAAGAGTTAAGGTTAGTATAAATTAGCAAGATTAATCCATGTTGTGACCTGCCGCCATGTTTGAGCAAATTAAGCTCTTTATATTTACGTTATTTGCTTAATATGTAAATTTAAGTTAAACAAACTTGATCTTAAATTAAAGCTTAATTAAACTTTCAATCCTTTTTATAGCAATTCAGTCTGCTAACACTTAAAAGATGTCTAAATATATATACTTTATTATTATTATTATATTATCTAATATCTAAAAATCCTTGAAACGAGACAAAGACATCAGAGGTAGTTTACCCAAAAATGAAAATCTTGTCATCATTTATTCACCTTTATAATATTCTTTCTTCTGCCAAACACAACTGAAGATACTTTGAATAATGGTGGGAATCAAACAGGTTTGGTTACCACTCACTTTCACTGTATGGACAAACCCTCTGAGACATTTCTCAGAATATCTTATTTTATGTTCCACAGAAGAAAGAAAAAGGTTCGGAATACATTTTTGGACGAACCTCTCTTTTAGACTTGTTTTCAAGTTGGTCATGTTCCTCATTTGTAAGTCGCTTTGGATAAAAGTGTCTGCTAAATGATAATATAAATTTATCTTGATTTAAGGAATAAGAGATATTTTTTAATGGAAAATAAGTCAAAAAAAGACCAACTAAACTAATCGTTTGTTGCGGTGTATGTATTCTCAGCACAGAAGATCCCTAATGCAACCACTAGATGGCAGTAACATCAAACTAATATTCTGGGAAATGCAAACAGGCTTTGCCTTCCAAGTCCTGATTTCAGACTCTTCCCAAGATAAGCAGTCAGTTGCAACAAACCGCTTAAGCTAAGAAAACCCTTAGTGCTAATACTCCTACAATTATTACGAAAGGGATTTTTCAGCTTAAGGGGTTTATGAGGCTGGTATGTCCTCACATCCACTTTTAGAGCAGACTGTTACAGTAAGCAACAGAAGAACTTGCCATGTACTTTCACTGAAACCTAGTTTTGGATGCAAATACTGGTTTATCCCAAAAGATCATTTCAGAAGTGTCATGGTCAAGCGTCTATGAAGCAAAGCACGTGGATGATTCCTGTTTTAATTTTTCCTGATAATGCATGTGGTCCAATAGGCTCTGGTTTACTTGTATAATAAATCAGCACCAATTACTGAGTGCTTCAGAGTGAATGTGAACACACATTAAATGCATTTCTCATGAACCAATGACAGATGCACTAAGCAGATTTAAGAATGAGAATCAGAAAGAGAACAACACTACATACTAAGTCCTTTTTCTCTCTTTCCCTTCATATTATATAAGAGGCATAACCCAGTGCATGCAGGCATGACGTAACCTGACACTGTCCACAGTCTGTCCTTCCTCGTGTAACAGCTTTTGCATCCCCAAAGGCTTGACCCAGTCCCAAGACCTCCTGTCTCCCGCAGTCCGTCTGCCTCTCAACATCCCTCTACATGTTCCCTCCTTGCCTCGGACCCCCGTTGCGCCTAAGCTTCTTACTGTTCAGAATATTCCCATACAACCATTCATAAACACTCTGAGGGTCAGGAAGTGCTTCTAAAAGTGGAGACGGGACTGGTTTTATAGGATTTCCAGTGTTGTCATGCAGTTTTATTCATATTTTGTTCAAATTAAGCTTGCATTTCTATTTGAGTGTGCAGAAAAACTTCACCTCTCCAACAGTCTAAGCCCTAGTAAGTGGCCTTTTTATTGTTTTTATCCTCTTTTGAAATCTCCCACGGAAAGCACACCTCTGAAACACATTCTACTCTCAGAATATGACTCATCATGTTACCTTTGCTTGTTAAAATGGAGAGAAAAAAATATTATTAAAATTATTTTTCAGCAGTATTTTCGTCCTGTTTTCCAATAATACTACATAAAAAAACATTCAAGGCATAAACCTCACAAAATGTTGTTATTATCATATAGTCTATAAATATGAGTATTATTATTGTTTGTGTAAATTTCCTTATCAAGTATCACTTGTTTTAAGGATGTTTAAATATTTTTACTGGAAAACAAGGGAAAATTACTTTTAGATTAAGTGATTTTTGCGGTGTAGAGGTAAGCAGAAGATTTGGAGGCCCCATTTCCCTCTTTCTTTCACTCTCCCTCTCTGTGCATGTCCTCACTTGACCCTTGTGAGTGGAGCTGAGGAAATGTGGGGAGAGAGAGGGAGGTTCTTACATAATGGGTTTATACGTGTGCAGTTATAAACACGTGTGTGGGAGGGAGGAGACAAACAGACAGACAGACAGAGTGGGGATGTGTCACAGTCAGTTTCTGTGTATTATAAGCAAGGCAGCATGAAAGCTGGGAGGTCATGGTCAGAGATACTTGTTTCTCTGTTTCTGTTTTGTAAGGACAGGCCATGTAGAATGTGATCAGTTCTGGGATGCTTTTTACTTTGTATAAACCCAAAATCAATTAAGATTTAAATTAAATATAAAAATACTAAGTGCAGCTTTAAATAATACAATAAGTAATAACAAAGTCGTAAGTAATGTATTGTATATACATATATACTTAATATTTATTTCATAATTTAAAGTTTGGAACTATATTTAAATGTTCGGTAACACTAGTATAGGTACCAATTCTCACTATTAAAGCTGCAGTCTTTAACTTTTTTGTTTAAAAATTCTCCAAAATCAATTTTTGAGCAAGTACATAACCAGCCAGTATTCAAAACTATCGCCTTACTTTAGCTCGATTCACAACGGTAAGCTTAATAAAGTTTTCTAATTTGAGTGGTACGGGTAGGCTTTCGCTGGAAATTCGAGCATGGCGCTGCGTCATTACGTCACGTCTGTAAACATAAAGAAGTTGTCCCGGCTAGTATGCTGCAGGTGATGGATCGTTTATAGCCTTTTCTCACAGCAGCTGGAATAAATGGCGGATTGAATTTGAAAACAAAGTATAACAGTAATAATAACTGGCATGGTTTGATGTGATATGAGCTAACCGATCATTAGATTTAATCACCATTGAAAGCGCAATTTATTGTAATGCTTTTCCTCAGTTGATCAGAACAAAAGTGGCAGTTGTTACTTACTTGTTCAGATGACATTCTCCAGTGAAAACTCTTATTTAGGTCATACTTTAAAGATGTAGAAGCAGTGAATACAAAGTGCAGTATCCACACCTGTGCAGTGACTGACAGCCACACATTAGATTCATCCGCGCTGGAGCCGTGCCGGTGCACAACCCACGCAAGGAAGATAATTCCGCAAATAGCTGCAATTGCAGGTTTTCAAACCGAGATGGCGACAAAGAGGCAAAACTTACGGACTGCAGCATTAACTAGTTGATTATTAGCATGCCTATTATTAACATATTGGCTGCTTATTAGTACGTATAAAGGACATATTGTGCATGACCATTTTCTACAGCCTTAAAACTAAACTTAACAACTACCTTACTAACTATTAATAAGCAGCAAATTAGTAGTTTATTGAGGCAAAAGTCATAGTTAATGGTTTGTTAATAGCGTGAATTGGACCTTAAAACAAAGTGACCAAAGTTTCTTATGCTCACCAAGGCTGCATTTAGATGATCAAAAATACAGTGAAAACCATAATATTGTGAAATATTAATACAATTTAAAAAAAACGGTTTACTATTTTAATATATTTTAAAATGTATTTTGAACTTACGATGTAAAGCAGAATTTTCAGCAGCCATTACTCCAGTCGTCAGTGTCACATGATCCTTCAGAAATTATTCTAATATGCTGATTTGGTGATTAAGCAGACAGACAGACAGACAGACAGATAGATGTTATTTTATTGAACGATGATGATATCAATAATATTATTTATTCTTTATTTCGCCTGAGGTCAATCATTCCAACGGATAATGCAGGTCACAGCATTTCTCCTATCTGTCAAAAACTCTTCTTTAGGGAATCTGACTATCGAGTTAATGGGCGAGTGGTCACTTCACCTCATAGGGACCAGGTTTTCACTTTCAGCCTCCATCGTCCATCCCTTTGCATCTTTCACTCTTGACATCTCCCACAAACGTTTATTTGTGATCTTGTCTCTTCACATGACTTTGCTCCATTGCTTTTTAGGTTACAGCAAGTTTCTGTTCAGACAATTTGTTTAAAGACCATGTCTCACTCCCATATAATAAAGCTGGTAGTATGGTGGTATTGAAGAGATCCGCTCATAATAACTGATAATAATTGAGGACCAAATCATCATATTAAAATTATTTCTAAAATTACATTTATGTATTGTCTATATTATGGATGTCAGTGGGTACCAGCATCTGTTTGGTAACCCACATTCTTCAAAATGTCTTCTTTTATGTTTAACAGAAGAAAGAAAGTCTTACAGGTTTAGATCAAATTGAGGGTGAGTAAATGATGACATTTTTATTTTTAGTTGAACTATCCCTTTAAGTTTGGGGCGGGTCTACCTGATTGTCTGAAAAATGGCAGATGAGGAAAATGTTTAAAACGTGTTTGGACAGTTTGATATTTTGCAGTTCCCTTACTGGTGCAAAAAATTACTCTTCACCTGCAAAAAAAGAGGAGAAAAAAAAGGGAGAGGGAGCATGTACAGCACCTGACTGTGACCCCAGAGGAACATTTTATTGACTGAAAACTTTAGAGATCTTTTATTTTATTATAAATTTGGTCTCAGTTTTTTCTCCTAAACT